CAGCTACAGCTCTGAGGGGGTCTGTCATATGAAGGAAGAAAGCTCGCCCGAGCCAAAAGAGGGTGACCGGGGACTTTCAACCGGAGAGTTGAAGCAAAATCAAATGACTCCTGAACAGTGGGAATCATCAATTGTCTTTTGGTAAAGTCGACCCACGATCTTTGAATTAGGCCCTTTCACACGAAATGAAAGTTAGTATATGAATGGTGTCTCATTGAAATCTATTTGCAGTTGATATAGTGGAGACAATGAGCGCATCAAAAGGTAGCAAGAACTTCTGATCTAAATGTGCACAATTGGTCAGGTTACCGTCCTGGTCCCAAGCCAAGCTTTGCGTTTTGCCCATTCGCACAATCGGAAAACCTTTACTCCTCGGAACGACAGACGGCATAAATGGACATGTACGTGGGTGTAAAGGTGCCTTAATTTGACGCATCGAAACACCAGGTACCATGCAAATTAATTAACAAACCTTCAGACGGTCGAGGGTAGATCGGCCAGATTCGATCGGGTCGAGTGCTGTCTCTCTTTCAATCTGTGGCAGGCCGGCCGAGAGGCTGAAATCGAGCTGTCGCCACGCCATGTGGAGCATGAGAAGCCGATTGCCCAGCATCTCAGTTGATCCACTGACCACTTGAGGATCTAAGCGAATGCGCCAGAATGCCTACAAACCGAATAGAATAGAAAAACACTGAGCTAGTCTATTGTCAAGTGGGAACATCAACAAATACTTCATTTGCTGTGACTAGACTTTTGGCCCATTCATGAATCCCTTCTAACGAACTTTCCCTAGAAATTAAAAGGCAAGTCATATTTAAATGCTAAGTGATTTTTCAAAATCTAACATATCTTCATATGTACACAGAGCATTTCCTTTTACTTGCCCATTTTGCGTCGGTACAGGAGGTTGCGTTTATAATAGACACGAGTTTAAACGACTTCCCAGTTGCGTCGTCTGCAGCCGGTTAAAGAAAACGCAATCTTTGAAAAATCCACTTATCTTATTTGAATAAAGTGAACAGAAAATGTGACTGCCAAAGTTCGGAT